GTCCAAAATATTTCACCCAATACAAAACCAATCTGCAAAATTCAAAGAGTCAAAAACACTTAAAAATCAATTAATTATGCATAAAATAATGAGAACATCACTTAATAACAAAAAAAGAAAACCTTAAAACATCATATACATACAAATAGAGGGAATATTAATTTGGTAGTTTAACACATAAAGAAAATTATGGTAAGTGGGAAATGGTATGGATCATTAAATAAAAAAAATTTTAACATCGTCAAACGAGAGATTAAAACATTTAAATATAAAAGTTTTTTTTGTGTAAATTGAATACGTTTGAGATTGTGAGTTCTCAATAAACTTATTTGAGCTCATCAAATCCAAAACAATATCGTATTAGAATGTAAAAATATTTTAAGTAAAAAAGCAAAGAAAAAAAGAAAAAGTGAAAACGATGATTTTCGAAATTCAAGTATTAATGTTTGATTTATAAATTTGTATTTTTATTACAATGCAACTTTACTTAGTGTAACTAAAATGGATACAACTAAAAAGAAAATAATTGTATGATCAATCTATATGGTATCCAAATAGATATAAATAAAAAATTTATAAAGTAATTGACATCGGTAAATGATTATCGTTCAAATAGTATGTTATATAACATTCTAAGATATTTATGGTGTTTCTAGTTTCAAAAATGCCACTAATTAAAGATATTTAAATCCTAAACTTTAAACTTAAAAAAGGTTTAGACCCTTAACAAATCTTAAACCCTCAGAACTAAACTGTTAACCTAAACATAAATGATATATTGAATAAATGATTTTGGAAAAGTGGCATTTTTAATTTTTGTTTTTGAAAAAGGCATTTTATAAAATATTTTTGTTAAAGAAGCATTTCAAATTGGTATTTCTCCAAAAATCTCGTATTTAAATATCATATTTTAGTTGGATTTAAATTTGTATCACACATATTTGTGTGTTCATATTAAAAAACTATTGTAAATATGTAAAAATTTCCAACATAATATTTGTAATTAATTGAAATATTTTGATTGATTAATTTAATTGATGTATCTTTTAAATTATTTTTTGTTGGACACTTAGGTAAACCTCTTCTCAATTAATATATAGAGGATAAGTGAGAAATTTTGTTAACTAAAAGGAAAATTTTAAAAATATAAGATGGTAAAATTAATATGTTACTATTTTAGTTATAAAGTTATACAAATATTTGATCATACTGTATAACTCAATATATGTTTTCATATTATATTACAATTTGTAAAACTCGAAGGTAAAATAGTTTCTTGAATCT